TTTTGAATTCCCCGTTCAATTTAAAAGAAATGATCTCTCTTGAGTTGCTTGCCTTCGATGCGCCATTTTTGAGTAAAAAAATAAAAACCATTCTATTGTCCTAGAAAATTAATGTAATAATTGAAGAATACAATTTAGCAATAAATATCTAGTTGCTCTGGAATATGTCACTGGCTTTTGACATCTGACAAGTCTCTGTTATTCAAATCTGTTCGCTGTGACTTCTTCATTATTTAGTTTTTACAATCTTGTTAATAATAGTGAATTATTCAAATGCATAAATGGCGGAAATGCATTGCATATATGGCCTTGCCGACGGTAATGGTGAGCAAGCCAGACGGATTTATCACCAGAGATATCCCGATTGTGCTTTGCCAGATAGTCGAACCTTTTCTAATATTCATCGTAGTCTTGTTGAAGCTGCTGTCCGAAAAGGAACATCTGAAGGTAGACCTCTAAGTGTGAGAACACCTGAAATTGAGGAGGCAGTGCTGCACGAAGTCGAAGAACATCCTGAAACGAGTACGAGGAAGATCGCTAGATACATAAATATTTTCCATCAAATTGTTTGGAAAATTTTAGTGAATTATTTGTTATATCCTTACCATATTTTAAGAGTACAGGCATTACTTCCCATTGATTTTCCAAGGCGTGTGACCTTTTGTCAGTGGTATCTTCAAAACGTTACACAAAATCCGTAATTTGAATCAATTATTCTGTTAATAGACGAAGCTAATTTTTCTCGAATTGCCATTCAGAACTATTATTTGTGGGCAGAAGAAAATCCCTATGCCTTAACCGAAACCCATTTCCAGCACCAATTTTCGGTTAACGTATGGGCAGGAATTATTGGCAGCCACTTTATTGGCCAATTCTTCTTGCCGGGACGATTTGATGGACAGACTTTCCCCAATTTTCTTCAACAACAGTTGCCTTTGCTGCTTGATGATGTTGCGTTAGTAATAAGAAACAATATGTGGTACATGCATGATGGTGCACCAGCGCATTTCAGTGTAGCGGTACGTAATTATTTACAAACTGTTCATCCAAATCGTTGGATTGGCCGTGGTGGGCCCCAAGAATGGCCACCAAGGTCCCCACACTTCAACAGTTTAGATTTCTTTTTGTGGGGCTATCTTAAGACACTAGTGTACACCAGTACCATTAACACTGTAGAGGAATTAAGAGAAAAAATAGTTGCAGCTTGTGATAAAATAAAAAACACTCCTTGGATATTTCAACGAGTGCGCAATTCCATGACAAGGAGGGCGGAAGCAGTGAAGGGGGCCATTATCAACAATTTTTGTAATCATTTCGTTTGTTTCAGTGTTATGTTTATGTTGTCAGTTGTGTAATGTGTTTAATTTTTCCAATTAAATTAATAATTTTGCAAGTTAGACAATACAACGGTTTTTATTTTTTTACTCAAAAATGGCGCATCGAAGGAAAGCGACTTAACAGAGATCATTTGTTTTAAATTGAACGGGGAATTCAAATTTTTTTTATTTGGCAAAAAAAATTGACGTACCATTTTATTCTTAAAAAATATCGAAGTCAATACCCGTACGCACACCACTGTTAAAAGTAAAAATTATTTTTGCATTGAAAAATATACAACTTTAAAAACCTTCAGTACGTACTGAATATCAGTGAAATATTTGAAGCGGTTCTGAAAATATTAATTAATTTCCATTTTTTCCTAAAACTTCAACACCCCGAGTTTTTGTAAGTAAACATTTTTGGACCATAGTTTATGAAACTAAATAGCATTAATTTTTCATGTAGATTCACACCCTTAAGTATTCGCCTATCATTAAGGAACACCCTGTATATATTATATACTATAAGGACCCGTCGCGCACCTTAAAAAATTTCTCTGAAGTTAATAGCATTTAAAGAATTATTTATATTTTTCTTTCTGAAAATGGGTATTTTTGGATTTTTTTCCTTATGAAGTAAGAGCCAACGAAGCCACCGTTTCAGCCTTATCTAATAACTCGGCCTCGTAGAATAGTCCCTGCTTAACAAAATACATAAGACATTTATTATTAGAACAGTAATTATCTTTATAATTTTTTTGTGCAAAGTAAAAAACCAAGAGTCACTTTTATAACCGTTCCTTGAGGACTGGATGCAGAGGAAAGATCTTTCCTTGAATTTTGTACGAACTATAACGCTTCCTTGAAGAGACTTCAAGGAAGGATTGAACATGAGCATTTCACAGTAGGCTGTAACAATTGTCATCGTAGACTATCAGAAAGATTTTTCTTTGTTGGCCGTATGTATTTAGGTAATTCGGTGATACATTTTGCACGGAAATATGAAGAAAGGTGCTTTCTTTCTCCGTTGTATATCGAATAACGGTTTTATAGCAGGCTGGGCTACAATATAGGCAACTAGTATTGGAATACTGACTCTGAAAATTTTACACATTATAAAGCTTGACACTTTTTGAATACCTTACTTACAAACTGTAGATTATTTGACGAAGAGACGAAAAAATTCCTGTTATATTCGCTAAGAAATAGCCTTATCAAAAACGACTTTATTAAGATTAAGCACTCCCATTCCCATTATGTATTATTGATATGTTATTCCAAACACTGTTTTTTAAAATCGAGGTGCTATCTGTTTATTCTGTTTATTTAATTTTGAACTGTTCATTTCAACTTGGCTAGTATCTGTTCTACTGGTATCTTCTCTTCATTGGATTTTTTTTTAATTCACTGTTACTCATCGTTATGAAAAACCGTTGATACTATGTGGGAGTGGCTTTGTATCACATTGCGCGTATTGTTTTTCGGAGGTAGACAGCGAAAGTTTCCTAGTATCGTTTGATGGTACCCGAGGAAAGTTGTCTGCACTAGTCTTTGTCGCTCGTTGATGGATAGAAAGTTTGTTCATCCGATAGTTAACGAAGGCTCTTTCTAGAAGTTAGTTACGTTGAGTTTGTTCCTAAGGAAACGATGTCACCCTTAGATCAATATTGACGGTAGAATGGTGGTTAGTTTTGAAATAAATGTTCTACTCCACAAACAAAACAATTACTAGCTTATTATGTAGTGGAATTAGTGTGAAATTCTTATAACTAAAACTTCTTGAAATTATTTTTAACATAACTTATTGCAGCATTTACTAATCATATAACTAGTGTTCAACTCATATCCCGTTGCTGTTTACCTTGAAGCACATTGTGGGTTTGCAGCTAAGTCCGCGATCTCATATACTACCACATGGCAGATGCAAATTCTAACCTAATAAACATGACTAGCCGCAGTCGCAGAAGTTGAAAAGTATTCCTAGACTGTACGAGGGACCAAAGGTCTTCTATTGGATTTCTTTGTTATCGGGAATTAAGAGTGCAACTTTTTTCACAGTTAACGGCAAAAAATAGAAGGTATAGGGTAATGGAACCAATGAATGAACGTCACCAGTTGATAAACATAATATTAGAAAAAAATAATATTTAGCTAGATGTTACGTTCACTATGCGAGAGAAAGATAGCAATACATACTTTGAAGCATATTTCGTTACTAGACCCTTTTTTCAATATGGCTACCTAATCAGATGACCTGTTGTAACGGTGCATGTACAGCCTTATTCATCGCGTTATTCGAGTTTTCTTATAAGCATACAGGTAAGTCTAATATTGAGTTTAACAAGCTTTATATTTTCATCATATCCTAACTAAAGGGGCTTACTGTTAAAAGTACCATTCTGGAAGCATATTTACTTATAACATAATCTAAAACTATGAAAAAACGAGGGAAACTGCAATAAAATAGCGTTCATTCACTGGTGTTCAACCATATTTCATAATTCCAGCAAATGAACAGCGCGTTCATTCATTGGATATTTCACATAATTTAATTACAGTAATCTTTTGGATTTAGGATCAACTATAAGAGTTGCAGAATGGCTTTTCGTTACTAAAATTATATTATGAGACATACGTCCAGTAAACGAACGAGGATTCAAATGCAGTTCATTCATTGGATTGGATTGGATTTTCTTAAACACCATTGAATGAACATAGACTTCTTGTTACTCGTAGCGACAATGATCATGACTTTTGCTTCAGGAAAAAATGGAGATTACTAAGAAAAAGCCATACCCGCGATTTCGATATACAGAAGAAACTTTGCAGGAAGTCTTACAAATGATAAGAACAAATTTAATCACTATTTCCGAGGCGAGTAGGCGTTACAGCATTCCAAAGAGTACTCTGTCGAATAAACTCACCGGAAAGGTCCCACAAATGCGAAAGATGGGGCCTGATACAGTATTATCTAGTGAAGAAGAAAGTAATCTGGAGAAATGGATTTTGTCAAAAGCTTTATTAAGATTTCCAATGCATTCTGGTGAGGTGAAAGTGCAAAAAGTTTTGAAAGAAACTGAACGCGATAATCCATTCACTGATGATAGACCTGGAAAAAAATGGTTGCAACTATTTCTTCAAAGACATCCAAGTATTACAGCGAAACACAGAAATCATCTCTAAAGCACGTGCATCAGTGACTGAACAAAGTATCAGGAATTGGTTTGCTGAGCTCAAAGACTATTTAATCAAAGAGAATCATGAAGAAATATTGGAAAATCCACATCGTATATTCAATACCGATGAAACTGGTTTTATGACTTGCCCCAAAACTGGAAAGGTCTTAGGACCCAAAAATTATAAAGCCTTTTACGAAATAGCCAGTGGCTCTGAAAAGGAATCTATTACCGTCTTGTGTACATTTTCGGCTGCTGGTATAACAGTACCCCCCATGATTTTGTACACATACAACGCATTCCAAGAGATATCTCGAAGATGAAGAATATCGTTTTGAGAGTGGGAATAGCGTTGATGTTGCTGCGGACAAATAATGACTGTATACTTACTTTAACGAATACAAAGGAAAACAAATATGAAGTTACCCATGACACGGAAAATAATCATGACACAAAAATAATTATACACAGCGATATTAGGTGAGACGCTGATAGAAGCATTCTCATGAATAATTTCAATGAAGTGGATAACGAAAATGCAGTCGAGACCAATAACGCTGATGCTCGAAAATATGAAAATGAAGAAAATGGAATAACTCAGACTAGAGATGAAAACGAGATGAATATGTTTGACTCAAACGTGGATAACGTCAACAAAAATGAAAGTAAATGATACAAAAATGAATGTAGCAGCCATCAAAATAAAGAAGATACATCTAATACAGATCAGAGGGAAAAAGAAAAGATCGGAAAGCAGAATGTTGGAGTGAAAAGTCTCAAAGAAATCTGGTCGAAACATCTACATTGGCCCGATTATGTACCTACAACTAGCAAAAGAAGGCCATCTATTCCAACGCCTTATGCTATAACTTCTAAACAGTGGAAAGAACAGATGGAGCAGAAAGAAAAAGCTAAAATAACACCAAAATCGAATGAGCTCAAATCAAATACTCAGATTAAACCAAAAGGTAATGGAGAACCATCCAATAATAACGATGTTAGAAATGCCCAAAGTTGTATCTCAAGTTCCAAAAAGTAGGAACTAACTGCAAAGACAACGTTGATTGTAGATCAGGTGGTCATGCAGATCTGAGTAAAATGAGCTACAAAACTGATAATTTTATTGTAGGATAGGACGTGATTGTAACATATGGCGGTAAGTTATACCCAGGAATTGAAAAAATTGACCATGACGAATATGAAGTTAACACTATGTGCCAAGTTGAGGGCAATAAAGGTCATTTTAGGTGGCCTTATAGGGAATATAAAATTTGGTACAACAAAGAGTGTGTACTTGAAGCAATTCCACCCTTGGTGTTTATTAGGAGAGGTGTGTTTGACTACCCAGCTATAAGAAAGTATCTTTGAATACTTTGTTCATTTATTGGATACATTTAGTTTATTTATTAGAACGATTTGTTCATTAACTAGTATTTGATTGTTTTTGGAGTTTTATTTTTGTTACTTCTGAGATGATATATTTCATTTGAATTATTTTATGACCATATTTTTAATAAACTTTCGTACTATTTACCGATTTTTTTCTAATAGATCCGTTTGAAATGAAAAAAGAGTATGATAATTTGATTTGAGAAATACCTTAGTCGTTCATTCATTGGTGCCATTACCCTAGTTTTATAAAAAACGATTTCAGATTGTCCTAATTCGAAGTATCCACGTCAGCGACGGCAGGTGCAGGTTTTCATAGTATTGGTTGGTGACATGTCGTTGGATGTAGCAGCATGTAAACAGAAGCAATATGTATCTATTCATCAACCTCCCAGATTTTCACCTTATTCGGTTAACCTCGTTTATAGAATTTGGACTTAGGCGCGACAGTGCTCAGCACTAATATTTATTGGCATCAGCAAAGACTGAATTTCTATGAGGAGAAAGAAAAATCGTCATACAAATTGTACGAAAAAATAAAGTAAAACCTTAACATTTCATATTTTTACTTCCACTGTCGAGAAACTATTCTATCGCCAAAAATTTCGAAAATGGGATATTATGTTTTTTGGATGTTATATGACATATCATGAAAAACCTTGCCACTCATATCCATCGATCGGCCTGTCTATCCACTAATCATTGTCCTGTCCATAACTTGGTAAGAGCCGCTAAGTTTTTGAAAACTGGTCCAGTGGTGGCGGAGCTAGAGGCAAAAAGCAAAAAAAAATAGCTCAACCTTTTTTGGCAATTTCAGATGCTCCAAATCATTTTCAGGAAAATTTTTGTAGGGATGAAAAGTGGAGTTTGGGATTGAAGGTGGTAGAGTTTGGGTGTATATACGTATATACTAAGTGACATATGAATCCGAACACCCAATTTAAATGGTTTTATTTTAATAAAATTTTGTATAAGTACTTAATGAAGCATAATAAGTAAATGATAAAAATTTCAAAATGATTGCACTGCTTTAAAGCCCTTTGACCTTTAATAATGTGTGGATGCACCCTGATGTGCTACGCATTCTCTAACGCGCCTAGGCATGCTTCTGATCAGGTGGTCAATGTCCTCCTGTGGTATCTCATTCCAGGCAACCACCAACTCCTCTCGAAGTGCTTCTAGAGTCTGAGGAGGACGTTGCAAATTGAGCAATCTGCTACCCATCATATCCCACACGTGCTCAATTGTGGATAAGTCGGGAGATCTTGGTGGCCATGGTAACAATGTGACATCATTATGTTGAAAGAAGTCTATTGGGACTGTTGCAACATGTGGTCGGGCATTATCTTGTTGGAAAGTTGGATCTGCCAGGGTGTCAAGATAGGGTAAAAGATGGGGTTCAAGAACTTCGTGGATATAACGCTGCGCGTTCATGTTACCTCTGATGAAGATTGAAGGTGACCTGGAACCATAAGCTATAGCACCCCAAACCATAACTCCAACAGTGTGATGAACATGTCTTTCAACAAAAAACTGTGGATTCTTCCTTTCACCACGTCGCCTTCTAACCCTGGCACGACCATCGTGCATGCCTAAACAAAATCGAGACTCGTCACTAAAGACAATACTGTTCCATTCCTGATCCCAGAGTGACCGTTGTCTGCACCACTCAAGGCGATTACGTCGGTGTTCTCGAGTTAAAGGGAGGACCCAGTGTGGCCGGTATGAAAACAAGCCAAAACTTCTCATTCGTCGGTAAACACTTCGCATGCCAATAGGTCTTCCGTGTTCTGCAAACCATTCATTTGCAATGGACCTGGTAGTGGAGAAACGGTCCCTTAAGGCCAATAATCTTAGGCGGCGATCTTCACGGTCTGTTGTTTTACGGCGGCGTCCAGTGCCCCTTGCTCTTTGCGTACACCCTTCTCGAAGCCATGCCTGACAACACCTAACCACAGTGTCTACACTTCTTTGCACTCTAACTGCAATTGCCCGAAAAGAAAGTCCAGCTTCCCGAAGTCCCACAATACGGCCCCTATCAAACTCACTAAGTTGACGAAATCGTACAGGTCTCCGTACTCTAGGCATCGTAACCGATCGTAAAGGATGTCAAGAACCAAAATCCGCCAACGTTGATTCTTTACTGCGGCTGAAATATTCATTTTTAGAACGTTAGTGAATTAAAAAAAGCAGTATAAAAACCGGAATGTCCAAAAACTGATAAGGCTGAACATTTTTTCACTTGTTATTTACAGTAAGATAAATACATTCACCAACTTTTATTAAAATAAAACCATTTAAACTGGGTGTTCGGATTTATATGTCACTTAGTATACATATTTCGCGTTAGTATATTTATACGCTTCACGCCTCGGTCGATAGAGATATATTTTCAATATACGCATCTCACGCAACTCAACGAATGCAAATATAGCTGCTTCGACGGATGACCGATATCTGACCGATGATGAATGGATGCAACGCCGTGCTGGCTTTGCGAGTGCCCGAGTTAGTCAGGATCGCAAGGTTGGCATATGTGTGTGGACTATGGACTAATTATACTGGCCTCTTTGACTGACTTTATCCATTTTATTCATTTTTATACATGTTTGTAGCTAACTTTTTCCTACCAGTGCCTAATTTGTGCCGAACGCAATCCTTTATGAACTGATAGCAACGTTACGTGGGAAGCCTGAGATCAATCTGTTTGACGCCATAAATACGTCATACCTTATTTCGCAGCTGTTAACATCCTTATAAGTCGCCCCGATCCCTGGCACTACGGAACAGTTTGCATTTGATAACGAACCCAAATTTATAACAAAAAACACTAAAACTCCACTACCAGAACCCAACAAATTGCAGTGTACATGGCGCGAGTTAATCAGCCCCCTAGGGGTATGAAATGGTATTCACAAAATTGTTTAAAAAATCTGAGCATTCGTGCACATACTTTTTTGGGTTTAATCGAGAAACTTATATATAATTTCACATCCGAACTTTATGCGCAAAGTCGTATTTATTATTGTATAATTGCATCCATTAATCTCTTAAAAAGTACATATTTCATGATAAATAGGATCATCGATTATTATTCTCCTAATGCAAAGTTATAATTTGTATTTTCCAATTCTCTGTTTTGTATAATACCGCATGACTTCACTGCTTTGATGGTAAAACGCCTCTTTGTTATGTCCCGTTGATAAACCTCTCTAATGTATTCCAGGTATTTTAATAACGTCTGAATTTGCTTATCTCTCTTCACAGCATTAATCATTTTATAACACGAATTATTTTTCCCCTTAATTAAATTTATCGATCTACGTTTTTAGTGCCAGACATTATTTTCATTAGTAATACAACTAAGACTGGGATTGCGAGTGAACTGACCTTGGGGGTGGAGTACAATTAGACAGAAAGGTGTAGACGCTTTTTACGTCTCTATATATTAAAAAAATTAATTGAAAATTTTAATTTCGGCCTCAACCGGTATACTTTAATAGAAGGAATTAAGTTTGGATGAGAATAGGATAACCCTCAGAGGTACTTGCAAAATATAACGTCCGATGTCTATAGCGACTTTCCGTGTTAGGTATTTTAACCTTAACCGTATTTTGTAGTTTAATCTGGAAAAATTTTGGAAGTATTGAAAAATGGCACCTATAGATTTTGGTGTGCTCCGTTTTTGTTTTTATTCACTACAAAAACGTCATCCACAATGTAGAAAACCCAAGATGTTAACTTAGCACTAGCTGATGAACACTTGCTGAGAACTCGTTTTGTAGTACGTGTTGCCTAAACGTCATGATGCTTTAACTATCAATGTTTGGCTTGATATGATGTAACTTCTAGTTCAGAGATGGCATTATTTTCGGTCTAAGCTGTAAGTTGTATTCTATAGCTGGAAGGAAACGGCAGTGCATAGGTACATAGTAAGGATGTGTGTGCTAATAATCTGTGTTGATGATAATTCCATTGGTTTCTTGTCTTGAGATTCAAAGTTAGAAATTATTTTCACATCCGCTTTCCCTTATTGATTCTGGAAATTACATATGCAAATTTGCTGATTAGAAAAATGAGAGAGATAAAAGAAAATCCCTGGTTAGTAAAGTAACAGGTGAGAAACTTCTGCAGTCTGCAGTGTGATGCGTCATTTCTAATTTTTCTGTGATGTGGCTTAATTGCACAGAACGCGGGCGCGGTGGCGATTTCCCGTAATGCTCCTCAAAGCTTTCAAAAAGACAAAAAAAGGAAAAATCGTTATTTATAACTTTGAACATAACCTGTCTTCAGAAAGGACAACATATCAATAACCCGTCGGGCACAGCTAATAGATATACTTCATTGGCAGCATATTCAGTAATAAGTAAAGTAAAAAGATTGCCCTTTACATACACTGCATTAGTAAGTTACGTTTGTCGTTGAGAAATCTTTGCTTTTGACTTACTGCTATGCATATGTACAGTCAACTTTGTTATATGGCATAATAGCCTGGGGTGTTTCCACTGAAAGGAAACGAGTATTTACCATGCACAAAAGAATAGTACGTTTACTTCAAGGTCTGAGCAGAAGGTCTAGCTGTAGAGCTTCTTTCAGACAGCTGGAAATACTAACTTTGCCATCCATATACATTTTCGAACTGTTGTTACATGTAAATTCAAATTTAGATGATTTTCCGAAGCTGAACGACCATAACTGCTACTTAACAAGAAATTTGTTTATCCTACAGGTTTTTCAACAAATTGCCAAACACCCTCAGGGCATTTTCAAATATTCAAATAAATACGCTTTATTAAAAAGTAAAGCATATTACTCTTTGGATGAGTACTTTTCAGATACCCTGACAATCGACAAGTAGGAGTAGTTCTGACAATATGGTTTATACAGGTAATAGTGTGTGATATCCGATACCTCAATTTCAGCAGTTACCATCCTCATTCATTTTATAATCTGTTTTTTTGAATTTTATCTATTTTATTTATATAACTTAAATATAGCGATATTTTAAACTGTATTTACCACGTTTTTTCAATGTTTGTTTTTAGTTATATGTTTGTCTATTTTATATTTCAATGTTTGTTTAATTTTGACTGTATACCCTAATGTGTGTTATCTACTTATATATTTTCTGTATATTTTTACACTATTGTTTCCATTGACGTGTTCTATATCACCTTATGGTGGTCTAACAGAACTAATAAAGAAATAAAATGAAATCATTATCTCGCATAGCAAATATCACTGATTTTATACACATGCAGACCAATGCTCATAACCATCCAGATGCGACCTTGCTACTCCACCAACTTTCTTTCTTTCATACATTCTCAGAGATAAACACTACATACTACTCAGCTTCATAAAACATATATACCTGTTTTCTGCAACCAACAATGCGAGTAGTTGAGTAATTCCTCCATAGATGGACGCTCACAGCGATTATAGTGAGCAAACGTGGAATGAACTATTTGAACCCTAAAAACTACCTAGTCTGCAAGATGACATTTTGTTGTTTTTTTTTACGTTTTATAGGTTTTTTACATAATAACCGTGCCGGACGATTTTCCACGGTAAAGCGGAGGAATTGGAATCTAAATATATACACTTAGAAAGAGCTGTAAGAAGAAATAATATAGTTATATTCGGCCTGAAGGTGTCCATACAAGAAGATAATTTACTGGATAAAGTCTGCAACGAACTAAAGGAGTATCTTAACGTTACGGTCGAAAGACCAGACATTGATAACGTGTTCGCAATAAAAACCGATAAAGAGAATGTTCCAGTTAAAATACAGTTCAAATCTTATCTGAAAAAGCAAGAAATTTTCTCAAATGTGCATAAACTAAAGGGTAAAAGCATATCCATCGTTAATGATATGTGCTATGAGGACAAGAAGAACTTTAAAGTACTTTTGAAACACAAAAGGGAAGCAAACTCGAAAAATATACCAGTCAGAATTGTAGGTAATAGCTTGGAAATAAATGGGCTAAGATTTACACCTGATCAACTGGAAGTGGGTATCGCTGTTGACGACCTTGCTACCGGCCAGGAAGCGGAAGAAGACGGAGAGGTGAAACAAAACCAGCCGGATAAGAGATTACTCTCTCCGGAACAAATCCAGGCTGAGAAGAAGCAGAAACTTGACAAAGGAGAGAAGTATTTGAGACCAAGACAAAAATCTCAATCGAAAAAAGAATAGCAGCTCAAGGCAACGTGTATGAATATTATCAGTGTTAGGTTAGTCAGTTTACTAGTATTTCAATTTACTTTTGTGTGCTGGTGTAAACAACACCGCTTTTTACACTTACACATATCAGGTTAAATATAATCAGGATCATTATTTTACCAATCAAATAACATATGAAGATTGCACACCTCAATGTTAGGTCCTTATTTACTGGCTTCCAATTTCTAAAGGATTTGGTTATAAGTCAGAATTTCGATATCTTTGCTGTGAGTGAAACTTGGATCAACGGTGCGATAGATCATTCCTTGATAACTATACCAGGTTACAGATTCGTACACGCTGATAGGTTAACTAGAGGTGGTGGTGTAGGCATTTATTTCAAAAACAACATTAATGTTACCATAGCGCATCAATGTATTAGCTCAGATCTAGAGGAACTATGGATAAATCTGAAGTTGCAGTCAAAATTGTACTTAATAGGCGTCATGTATAAGCCTCCTAGATGCAACATAACAAAAACATTCGAAATTCTAGAATCTTCTCTGGCAACTTTGCTTCCAGATTCAGATTCCGCTATATTATTAGGAGATTTGAATATAAACATGTTTGCTAATTCACCTGCTAACGATATGCTATTGTATTTGCTGGAATCCTTTGATTTAAAACAAATTGTCAATGAGCCTACACGCATCACAGGGCTTTCGAATACTCTAATTGATTTGATTATCTGCTCTAAAGACCAAGACACTAGAGATGTTAAAGTTTTACCGTCCCACAATATATCCGATCACTGTATCATTACATGCGAAATTACTACTACACTAATCCGTAACAAAGTTAGACATTATACCTTCCGTGATTTCAAGCATTTTGACCAGCAAAAATTTCTTGAACTGTTTTATTTGGTTCCTTGGGATCAGATATACAACATGCAAGATGCGAACGAAATGGTATATTTTCTGAATGATAACGTGAATAGACTTTTTGACGTTAGCGCACCAGTAAGGACTGTTAGGATATCAAAGCCTCCGGCACCATGGTTAACATATAATATAAAAGAAATGATGAAGTCGAGAGATAAGGCATATAATAAGTACAAGCAGAATAAATCGGTAGGCAAGTGGGTTTTCTATAAAGAAATGCGCAATGAAGTTGCGAAGGCTATCAATAGGGAGAAAAAAGCGTATATGGAATTCATTCTGTCAAAAAAAGATTCTAAAGCTACCTGGAGCTGCCTTCGGAGACAGCATTATCAGCAGCAACTTGAAAGAGTTACCTGGCCATCTACAGGACGTTAATGACATAAATAAGTATTTTTCTAGTTTACCTACCATTGTTAAGTCTGAGTTACAAATGAAACTGCTGGAAAAATATAACACCAGCCAGCAAGCCAGACAATTCACATTCTCCCAAATAACTTGCCACGATGTTATGGGATTTTTCCAAAGTATCAAAAGTAATGCCTTGGGTGTTGACGGAATCAACCTAAATATGCTAACAATCATATTCGATTTGCTTATTGAAAATATAACTTTCATCATCAACTATGCAATTGCATCATCAAACTTCCCCAACTGTTGGAAAAAAGCAAATGTTCTCCCCCTAGCTAAAATAAGTAACCCTACAGATATTTCACATCTGAGGCCGATAAATATACTACCAGCATTTTCCAAGTTATTAGAACTAGCCATGAAACATCAGGTATCTGACTACGTCTTCTCTAATGGTATCATTCCTCGGGTTTCAGGAAAAACCACAGCGCAACAACAGTTCTGGCTAACATCACTGATGACTTAATCAGATGTGTGGATCAAGGAAATTTAGCATGCTTAGTGTTGCTTGATTATACAAAGGCTTTTGATACCCTGGAACCATCTATTCTTGTGAAAAAGCTTATATACTTTGGTTTTTCGGAATCTGCAATTAATTTTGTATTAAGTTATTTCACTGACAGGAGTCAGATGGTTGTGATTGGGTCAAGTATCTCGGAGGAGATACCAGTTAAACTAGGGGTACCACAAGGTTCCATTCTGGGACCATTATTGTTCTCAATTTACATTTCTGACTTCCACGAGTACGTTGAACACTGCAGTATTCATCACTATGCTGACGACACTCAATTGTACTTTGGCTTCGATATTAAAGATTTAAAAAATGCCGAACATTTGATTAATAATGATTTAATAAATTTATCTAAAGTATCTTGTGCCCATAATCTGAAAATTAACCCGTTAAAATCATCCGCAGTTATATTTGGACCAAAAATCAAAAAAAGTCAGGCAAAACCATTACTATCATTGCGCATTTTAGATCAACCGATCCCTATAAAAAATGAGTGCAAGAATTTAGGACTCTGGATTGATTCTGATTTGAGGTTTGAAAAACACGTTAGTCAACTGTGCCGAACATCATTCGGTGTCTTGAAGCAATTATTTCCTCATAGGAAAAGTATGAATACTGGTCTCAAGCTGAAGTTGTGCGAAACCTTAATATGGTCTAGAATTCACTACTGTGACTGTATTTATAGGCCTGCACTAAGATCGATTGAGATAGGGAGACTTCAGACTATTCAAAATGCGTTTCTCAGATTTGCTTGTGGAGTGAGAAAATTTGAGACAATGTCACATAAATATCGTGAGCTGGGTGTTCAAATAGCAGAGCTACAAAAAATGCATGTATTGACCTTGACCCATAAGGTAATCACAACACAAGCCCTTCCATATCTATCAACCAAATTTATCAGATACTCAGATGTTAATCAACTGAACACAAAGAATAAGCATATTTTGGTTATCCCGAGACATTCAACATCTCTATTTAAAAGGTCGTAAGTATATACTGCTATCAAGCTATACAACGCGTTGCCTACCGAGTTCACTCACTACTCTATAAAGAATTTCAAAAAAAGATTGAAGAATTTTATCTCTGATTCCATTGCCCAGTAAGTAGACCATGGCCATGAATAAGGACTCGTTACAGGTTTTTTTTTAACTCTTGTTTTCATTGGGATTAGAAAATATACATCAATATTTGTTGGGTTAAGTTGAAAAACGCTTTTTAGCGACACTTCGCCTTTTTATACTTTGTATAAATAAAGCCGGATTATTATTATTATTATTATTATTAAAAGGGTAGCACAGCGAACATTCGATAATACCTTGCTGAAACCTATAAATATGCCAATTTTCAAAAGTTTCCAAGCAACCACCTTTTTAAACAAAAAATTTGAAGTGACATGCACATAATTCTAACAATTGACTACTCTACTAACGTGCTTTACGAATGAAAAAGAACGCTGCATAAAATGGCACTAGATTACAACTTTTACAACTTTCATCCCATGTGACAAAAGATTTGGAAAAACTCAGGCCACATTTTGATTTACAGACTCAAAATAGAAAAATAATCTTAATTCAGTTACTCGTTTAAGAAAATCAGTATGAATTTGGTTAAAATATTTAAAATGCCGTATGCCAGATCAGTCACCTCAAAAATTGGAAACACACTCAACGTTTTTGCGCAAGATAATCAAATATTTCTACAATGAATAATGATAATAGTGCAAGAACCCAGGGTTGTCAGACGTATTTACTTTTTGAAAGACAAACCGTGAGGCATTGGGTCATCTAAAGTGCAATTAATGTATATAAAAGGCTTTAATGATAACTTATAATACTCGAACTTTTCTAAATAAAAGCGTCGTTAGAATGTATGAGTCGGTACAAAACAACTCTGTCTACAGATATGGCATTGATAGATCCATCAAAATTGTATGAAATTGTCGATATGAAGTATTTTGAATGTTACGAGGTAAACTCCGACGCAGTGAGCTTTAAGCCATTTACAAGGATTCAGCTGCTTCGAAACTGACACTCCGTTTTTTAATATTTTTGTATTAAATTCATACAGTATGATCAAAAGACAATTGCCCAAGGTGCTATCGGAGCACTTTTTGAAATTTTGTTTTTGCACAAGATTTATGGTGGGTTGAATGCTTACTTTTTTGTTGATCTTCGCGATTTTTTAAAAAGAGCCTAGTGAAAAAAATGAAAAAGTGGCTCGATAGCACCCTGTAGAGTTTTGTTTCAGGCACACTGTACAAATTTCATTCGAAAATATCAAAAATGAAGCGTTAGTTTCGAAGCGCGAAACCTCTACAAATCGGATTTTGCACGAATTTTGTCTACTGTTTCGTGCTGCCAGACCAAGCGACGCGGCGGTATGTACGGACTAAGAAAGGACGTATTTAGATAATTTGATGGCCCTATTTCATATAATATCGTGTATAAGTCATTCTGCAAATAGGTGTTCATACCCGCGATAGCTGATGCGAAGTAAATGTTCGTAACTAGTTATCTAAATGTAACTTCTCAATTATGCCCCGGTTGTCTGTCTGATCTATCTATGTTACACTGGCCAATAAATGAAACCTAAGAAGGTGAATATACTGATTTCCTGACGATTTGCTTCGGCAAATTGAAAATGTTTACTCCTCCATCTTGAAGCCGTTTAACTTCGCACGCCAGTGGCGCGAAAAATTTCGAAAATGACATGTTATGTTTTTTAGGTCTTACAAGTGAATCAATCGCTGAAATCGTTATTGGCGTTTCATGGGTTCGTAATCATTGTCACAAAAAAATTCTAGAGCTTAAAAAGTGGGGGTTAGGGGAAGGTGATATTAAATGTTGCATCTTTGATATGTGAAGTGAAAGATGTTCTATTATTAAGATGCTTCTGATGCCAGAAATTACTGGAAATTTAAGTGACGAAAATCCAACGAATAATGTGCTCGGTACCTGCGTTATAGGTTTGAAACTGAGAGCCAACAGATCTGCAACTGCCAACAGTAGGGAAGAATAAATTCGCATATTCATAATGGGGATTATTAGGGCTAGATCGCCGATCGAAATCCGACTCTGTTATTATGGAAAGTTAGCCCGGTACGCGCTCGCAGTCATCCTTTCCATTTTTAAAGTAGCGCCGACGATCGTCTTAAGACCTGCCTACTGACG